ACCGGGCGAGCCCCAACGAATCCGCCCAGCCTACTCCGCAGGGCTGTTGTGGGGATTATCACTACGGGGAGGAGGGCAGCGGGTCCACGTGCAGCGCCCTGAACTCCCTCAAGGGGCTGAAACACCATCGCCGTCGGGACCGCCCCGCCTCACTCTCTCAGGAGAGGGAGGGACGGGCGGCGGCGGCACATCGACTTAGCTGACTCTCGTCCGCTCCGTCTTCTTGCCTTCCTTACTTTGAGCCAGCGGCGAGGAAAGAGTCGCGCGGGCCGATGGCATCATCTCAGGGCGCCAATCCGCCGCAGCCTCCAAGGCGGAAGTGCGAGCCGGGAAGCGGTTACCTAGCAACGGAGAGGAAAAGTCCGAGGCCAGCTGGGCCTTTGGAGTACATCCATGACATGCGTTAAATTGGTTTTCATATTGCTTTAAAGTTTAAACCAATCGTGGTTCTGCTCCTCCCTCCCCCGAAAAAGAAAAGAATACTGTACTAGGAACTTTAATTTGTTTAAGATGCTGAGGATGGTTAGGAGGCTCTACAGCTAGAATTCCCGGAGTTCCTTGCGAAAAGGGATTGATTGCTAAACCACTCTGCAATTTGCAACCCTGGGAAGGGGGAATGGGGGCGATATCCTAACTCCCGAACTACAGTTCCCAGAAATCTTGGTTTGGGGGGAGCCATGGCTCTTTAAAGTGGTCTCTTAACGTTTTCAGTGCATAGTGTGAATGTAGCTTTGATTTGCTTTTTCCTGCCTGGTAAGGGAAAGTTAAAAGGGAGGCTGACCAATCCCCTTGCCCCTTCCCCCTAGCGACACTAGCCAGTGCTGATGGGGGTTACAAAGAGCAGCCACATTTGGAGGCTCGCAGGTGCTCCTCACCCTTGTCATAAAGCTCCCCTCCCTTTTTTTCAGGGGGCCCCAACTGAGTCCATCAACAATTCCCACACTGGGCAAATTCATTGCCCTGTTGAATGTTTAATTGTAGTAAAACAAGGCATTTTCTTTAGGATTGGGAAGTCAACCATTATTTTGTTAGGCTGTTAACTGTGCAACTGGGTTTTTATTTCAATTTCCCCCATAAATTTTACCCCACACCTTCAGCCTGCAAGGACAGCTAACACAAAGGAAAAAAACACAATATGGGATAAAATCAGTTGCTGATAATATGTGGCTTCCCACAATACCCAGATTATTTTGCTTCTCCTACAAATTTCCTGGGAACCACCTTAAGCCCACAAATTTCCCTTGATCACTTCTTGCCGTTTTTGTTTTCAAAAAGAGATTTGGGAGATGTGGTTCATTAGTACCACCTCTCAAGAGCTGCTTCCCAAACGACGACTTCTTTTTTATGACTTCCTGCATTCTACCAAATATGTCAGCAAACTTTAAATACGTCTCCTTCTCTCCCCTAGAAACCAGTTTATGGACTCTTCCATAAGAGGACAAGAAGTGAAGGAGAAGCCCTGCCTCTATTCCAGAACAGTTTTTACAATTAACAGAATATATGTACAGCCCGAGCTTACAGCACACAACTGATTCTGATTAAACATTAAGGAAGAACTTTCTGATGGTAAGAGCTCTTTGACAATGGAAAGGATTTCCTAGGAAGGGGGTGGACTCCCCTTCATTGGTGGTTTCTAAACAGAGGTTGAATGGCCATTTGTCAGGGATGCTTTAGCTGTGATTCCTGCATTGCAGGTGGTTGCATTAGGTCAGGCATCCCCAAACTCAGCCATCCAGATGTTTTGGGGCTACAACTCCCATCATCCCTAGCTAACAGGACCAATGGTCAGGGATGATAGGAACTGTAGTCCCAAAACATCTGGAGGGCTGAGTTTTGGGGTGCCTGCATTAGGTGATCCTTGAGGTCCCTTCCAACTCCACAGCTATGATTCTATGAAAATGATGTGGGGAAGCATTAAGTCATCACACTTGAGTGCCACCATTCTGTACACTGCTGTTGCAATTGCCACAGATGAGATGGCAGGGTGGGAAGAAGTGATCCCCAGTGCTAAGAAACCAAGAGGTTGAGTTTCCCTGTGACCCAGGGCTAGGGAATATCTATGTTGTACTATTTTATTGTTGTTAGCCACCCTGAGCCCAGCTTCGGCTGGGGAGGGTGGGATATAAATAAAGTTGTTGTTGTTGTTGTTGTTGTTGTTGTTGTTGTTATTATTATTATTATTATTATTATTATTATTATTATTATTATTACAGCTCTACAAATGTTGATGGACTCTTAGCTCTTCTCAGACCCTGCAGCCAGTATGGCCGGTGGCCAGGGATAAAAGTATTATGCCAGATTTTCATGAATATGATTTAAGGGACCCACACATTTTAGATTTCACACTTCTCCCAGGCAAATCCAGCAGTAAAGGAAATAAGATAAAGCTCCATGGCTACGAGGAAGAGCTGCACTAGGCAGTGTTTCTAAGGTAGGGGCACTTATTTATTTAAGAGAGTTCTCTCCACTTCAACAGCAGGGAAAGGTACATGGAAAAATGTAGGTGGGTTAATTAAATAATAATAACCAACATTTCCCAGTCTACACATTTGGCATTAAATAGGATGAGTAACCAGTTCCATGATTCCACCAAACCAGCAGTTGTAGCTGCAGTTGTTCAGCACCAGTTAGGGGACAGTTCCACAGTCCCCAAAGGAAAAAAATGCAACCAAATATTCACACAGTTGGGGTTTTTTTTAAAATGCAAAAGTTGCCAATTGGGGTGGGGAGGCCAAAACAGCAGCCCCTTCCGCACGCTTGTTTTCAGGCAGTTTTTCCAGCTTTGCATTTGCTCTGGTGCTGCCTCCTTCTGGAAAGGCTCCTTCACTCTAGGAACTGTGTCATGAAGCAGCAAATAATTCATTCCTATTTCTTATTCCTGCAACCAACCACCATCCATCCCCTACTGACAATACTGCAAGCCAAAGACCTCATTTGGGAAATGGCATTGATAAGTAATCAGTGTGAAGTATGGGAGCATCTGGGCTTTGGCTTTCCTAAAACACTGATGCCTGCAAGAAAAGGGAAAGTCTGATTATAACAACTCATTTAGAATAAATCAGTTTGGAAATGGCTTCTATAACACAGTAGGAAGTTTTATGATTCTACATTACAATGGTTTAGGGGCCCCTCCTATCCATAGGAAAGAAATTAAATGGCTGTGGTTTGGGAGCAATTGCTTTATATATATTTTAGGTAACTAGAGGAAAATGCAACTTTGCAGCATTTTAATGGTCAATTTGCCTAGGTAAACAGGCAGTAAACTGACAGTTACTGCAGCTATCATGCTTGATGTTGAACACTGGCCTCGGAAATGGGCTGCAAGAGAAAAGCTCAAACCAGCCATGGATCCTTTAGGTGGCACTTTTACGTGGCTATAGTCTCATGCACTAACACCTGTGATGAAAACATCCTTTCTTACTATGTTTTGATACAACAGGGTACCTAAGCTCCAATTTAGGTCCTTAGTTGCTGTAAGAGCTAACTGCCCCCCCCCCAATACAGCTCATCTTTGCCCTGCTCAGTGATAATCCTAGCTGGCATACATCAAATTGATAAGACTGCGTATCAGTGATATCATCAGGATTGGATGCCGGGGGCAGAACTCTAGGATTCAGAATACAAGCCACCCACCCACACCATTCCACCATTCCCACATGCAGCAGGGATAGCATACCATGTTTTGAAATAAGTAAAGCAACACATACTGGGCTCCAGAGACCAAAGTTCTCAAATGGCCTGCACTAATATCCAGGGGCTCTCTAAGCTTCAGAAAGGGGCCTGGTCCAGGCCTTATTTGGAGAATCCAGGAACCAAATGCAGGGCCTTTTGCAAACAAAACAGATACTCCACCTCTGAGCTTTTCCGAGCGTTGAGAACTGGCTGGCTGGCAGAGTTGTCACTCCATGACTTATTACTTGACCATCTTTAAGTGGCAATGACAGAGACTAAACTCAGGGCCTTTGAAAGGAAAAGCAGCTGCTCGAGTTAGGTCTGTCAGGGCCCCTTACTTGGCCCACAAGACCATGTTCCCCTGCCAGTAGTGCCCACCTGTCCTACTCCTAACATGTGTGGGGCAAGGCAAGATGTGGCTTCGTCAAAAGTGGGGCTTGCTGGCATAAGCACTCAACTTTTCTTCAAGAAGCTTGATTTCAAGCCAATTCCCCAGGTTGGAGATGGGACTGGCACTCGGCACAGCCACCATCTGTCTGTGCCAGGTGCCCCTTACCTGGCCTGCCCCACCTCCCACACCATACCTCCCCCTACCCTGAACCACTGTGATTGGGACCTCTCCTGCTCCCTCCAGCTCTTTTCTGAGGCACATCCCATAAAAAGCTCAGATTTAGAAGCATACAAGGTAAAAGAAGTAATAACAATTTAAAACATTTTTTACAAATGGGGAAATAACAGAACTGAAACCAGCTAAACAATACCCCAACCTAAAGGTCTGTTCAGCTGCCTCAGCTTTCAAAGCTGCAGTCAGTCAGGGCCCAGCCCTCCTAGGCAAGGTGGAAAAGATCTGAAAGGCAGGGAGCAGGTCCCCCAAGACTCACAACCAAGATGGTGTCTGAAAAGCTCAGCAGTCTCAGCTACACCCGCACAACTCCTCTGTAGAATGAGTCCCCCTTTATCAGAGCAAAACACTATTTCTTCCTCCACTTGCCTTGCACTTTCACCCGTCTTAAAAGCAAACAGAGCTCCAAAACAGGAATGTCATGGCCACCCCCAGAAGTGATGAGGAATAACCCTTTTTTGAAGATTCGATTGTGCCTCAATTCTTACATATGAACACAACCTATTTATCTGTCAATAAACAGCACATAACACAATTCAGAGGGCTTATACTCACAGGCACCATATTGCAGTAAAATGTAGGGGACAGGGCCAGATTTATAGGAAACCAGAATCCTTCTACGCCCCACCCTACCTCAGCCCCTTCTTACCCCCATTGTACTCCAGAAATGATGGATGAGGGAGCAGGGCAGCAGAAACAAGAGACAGATGGTTTTATTTACTTTATTATTTTGTAAATGTGAATTTTACAAAGCATTTTCATCATTAATGATCACATTTTTCCATGGATTTTTCATTATATGAAAAGCGCTACAACCATACTTTGAACTCTTGGAAGGGGGCTTGTGAAGAAGAGACATCTTGAAGCCACTCCCCCACGTTACCCCCGCCCCCGCCCAGCCACCTGACACTGTTCTGAATCTATAGTGTTAGCCATGGCTGTAACAGTCTCAAGCTGAGGGATGGCACATAAATAACAAAGAGAATAAACAAAACTTTGCGTGGCTGAAACAACTCCAAAGCACTTCAAAATCTCCCCTATTAGCGCTGGGATTTTTAACTTTTCATTTATTTTTAACAGTCATGAGTTACAGTACTACTGGGTACTCTTGATAAAGACTCCAAGAGAAACCCTTTTGCTCTCTTAAGACTTTTCTCTCAGGCAGTTCAAAAGGATCTGCACACAATCTGAATCAAGTGCAATCCAAAGGTTCAAGTTAAACATATTTATACATTTTCTTGCTTAGTTATGACTTTATCATTTTTGAGTCTTAAAAATAGTATTGCAAGGTTGGGCTCCCTCCCCTCCACCTCAGACGTAAAAGTGCAAAAAGGAAGTTTGGAAGAAACAGAAGATTGTAAGTTCTTCAGGAAGGACAACACATGGGACCCCTCTTTCCCTCCTCTCATGCCAGCTTTGGCAGAGGCACAGATTGCCTTGCTCCAAGGTGGGCACCCAGTGAATTGACCACAACCCTCCATGGGCAGCCACAGCAGCACTGTAACAGTGACACTGAAAGGCCTGGCCCTTTAAGACTGGTTAGGGATCCCTTAATGGCCACAGGAGATATGGTCAAAATGCACAGCACATATCACAGGCTGCATCATTTGGACAGCAGTGGAAACTCTGCTGCTCAGGGAAGACAACATCACAGAGAGGGCCTCTTCTCAGGCAAAGATGATTACATGTAAAGCAGCCCGTCTCCCCTGGGCACCTTTCCCCCGGAGAGCACCATGCCCAAATGGCTGTGCCCTTTTTAGGACTCCCCCCTTCTCCTGCCCTGTCAGGTGGGGATGGCACCAATTTGCTTTTCCTCTTTGCATTTAATGCTGCAAGGAAGAAGATGCAGGAAAGAGAAGTCACCAAGAGGGTCCCAATTCCTCAGTGATGGGAAGTACCAGGAAAGGTTGCCACACCAGGTGAGAAAACAGTCACAACCTTTTATCCACCCTGGCAAATCAGCATCCTACAAAAAAAGCTAAACTTTCTAGCCAGGATGCTTTCCAGCACTTAATTAAAATGAGAAAGAAGAATTTCTTCAATTAAGCAAAACCCATTTCCAAACTGGATTCCAAGGACAGGTAAGAAAAAGTGGCAAACAGCCAAACATCTCTGGCAACTTGAGGGTTGAATTAGTGGCCATTTCAGTTGGAGTAAGAAGAGAATAACTGTCAGGGAAGTCTCAGAGCAAACAAAAGGACAGGACTTATGGCTTAACATGGTCTCACCTTTGCAATGAGATCAGATTTCTGGGAAAAAAAATCCGAGTTTTGTTTTTGGCTCCAAATTTTGGTTTAGAGTGGAAAAAAACCCTGGAATTGCACACTTCTGAGCAAGGGTTAGATAAAGAAACCTTGGAGAAGCCAGGCTAATTTACAAAGCAACTGCAATCTGGGGATGTTTCCATTGCAGAAAAGGAGGGGGTGGGAATGTTGGTTCAATTCTTATACTATGATGTGGCAACCACTATATTCACTCGGTTTTCTCTCTCTTTAAAAAGGTGCTTGATATAACTTTTAATATATATATATATATATAATATACACATGTAATATTGCTAACAGTCAAGCATTAAGAATAGAGGTGCAGACATACCATAAATACTTCTGCTTCCATTTTTATTTTATTTTTAAGATCTAGAGGGATGCCGTTTCCATTTCACATTATGCATCATCACAGTCAGAAAGCAACTCCCAGACACTCTCGTGACATTTCTAGCATTATTGTAAACAAAGAGGGGGAAATCGGGGCGGGGGGCATTCCTTCTGATCTGGCATTTCCCCCCCTCTCTGTCCCCTCCGCATGGAAAACAAGTGATCCAAAAAGGGCTAAGGCACTCAGGAAATCCCGATCATTCTGGGCTTCATTCTCACTTTACATTCTTTTATTTTGCGACATTCTTCCTTCCCACCAGGGAGGAGGCAATCACGATCCACAGATACGTCTTGGAAATCTGCCCTTAAGCCTCCACATGCGGATCTGGTTTAGTGCAAATGCTCATCCTCATCAAGAAGACAAGGAAGGCCCCCCTCCCCAAAAACAAACCATTCACATTTTTTTCAAGTTTACCTAAAGCTCTCTCTCTCTCTCTTTTACTAGAAAGTAAAAACAAACAAATAAACCCCAAATAAAAATGTACATGAAATTGTGCTCGGTATAAAAATATATCTTAACTGTGCAATGCGACACTCTCTTCGGATTCTTTTCTAAGCCATTCAAGTATTTTCTTTTATGTTCTGGTCATTTCATCATGGGGCCAGGGGCGGGTGGAACAGCTCCTGGATGCACTTTGTACCACCATTATTTTGGGTAGGATATCCAATTGGAAGAGGAAATGACCCAAGGTAAGAAAGGCAGTAATCCTTTCAGTTTGATACCATCATATTTCATGGACCCAATCCCCCTTTACCACTGACTCAGGGAAAGATACAGAAGGGGGGGTCACTGCCCACAGAGCTGCCCCTACTCACTGGACCATCTAGGGCAGATCATTACTCGACTGCTCGCTCTGATAACAAAGTTCTCATTCACCTGCAAATGCAGAATTAGGCCCTTGAAGGTGTGGAGTCAATGGCCTGATTGAGCTGCAGCTACAGAGGCATCCCAGGCCAGAAAAAGCCTGGAGACACGTTGGCTCAGCTTCCTGGTGCTTCTCCCCCTCCTCAAGGCCTCACCCATCCACTTCACCAGTGCTCAGCTGGTTTTAATCCTTTGTGGGGTGGCACTGGTACTGATCAGGGACCACAGTTTTTTTATTCAGGGCCCAGAATGAAGTTTCAAATATTGGCCAAAGGCAAGGACTCCCTCCAAAGTCACATGGCAAAGGAGGAACCCCCAGGAAGAGAGTATACCCCCCGCAACACCTCATGCCATTGGCTCCAGCACAGAGCCTCACCTGGAGCTCAGAAAGTACCCATTGCAGAGCTCTCAGAAGCTCCCACTGTCCTGAGCTTTCTGCACCTGAAAAATCCCCCCAAACTCAGTCTGTTTCCCCTCCCCCCTCAAGAGCCTGCTCTTTGTGGTCCCTTCCCAGAAACCCACACAGGGATCCTGCCTAGAAAAGCAGAGACAAACCCTTACATCAAGGAGGGTTTGGGCTAGGAATGGGGAGAGATTCCTAAGCAGCACACCCTTCATGGTGAAGCATCTCCTCTCACATACCAGGTGGGGGCCTTCCAGTAACTCCTGTGTTTCAATCAAGGTGACTGAATCTTGGGATAAACCATTCTAGAACGGCTAAGGGGATGGCTGCCAAGGACCCATTTTGGAGTTGGAAAAGGGGCAGATCCCAGAGCAAAAGCACCTTTCCCTTATAGAACTGTGGAGAGGAAAGGGGCCCCCAAGGGTAATCTAGGCAACCCCCTGCAACGGCCATCCAACCAGAGACCAGAGAAGGGGCCTCTTTGCCCTTCCATTTATGAAATAGCCCAGTCGGGCCATGGTGGCTTCCACCTACTCTCTCCTCTGCCACGCCTGTCCGACATATATTAGGGGGAGGTGCTGAGTGCAGCAAAAATGAGGCTGCTCTCCCCCTGACACACAACCACCCAAAAAGCAAGCTAGGCTGCCTGCCTGCTTCCCCAGCCCAGATCCCACTCCAACCTGCTCTGCCTCTTGCACACATGCTGGTTCTCCTTTGGCCAAAGTTCGCTCTGCACCCAACACCTTTCAGATGTGAAAGTTGAGCTGTACCCCCTCTAAGAAACACCCTACCAGACAAAGCAGCTCAAGCCATCAGAACTGAAAAACTTGTTCTCATATTTTACATGAGCCTTCTCAAAAAAAAAAAAAAAAAAAAAAGGGAAAAAAAAGAGTGGGATCAAATAGGAAAACACAGATCCTAAAAAGGAACAATAGGGTTTGGGGTAGGGTTGGACAGCCACCAAAGACATCCATTCTGGCCAAGTGTGCCACAAAACTCTCAAGTTAGTGACTCCCTTCTCACCTCTCTCTCTGATCTCTTTTCTCTTCCCTGTCTGCTCCTTCAGAAATGCCTTCAGAAATGCCAAGAACAGCAACTGCACCCCACACTCTGGCCCAGTAGAGCCTTACCATATTCCACCTCCATCAACACACCACTCAATGCTAACAATAACCTCCCTCCCCGGTCCCATGAGATGCATCAGGATAGAGTGATGCCCTCAGTATTAGCCTCCTGGGGGGCACCTCTGCCCAGCCCAAGCAGCTTTTGCCTTTCACCATCTCTGCCAGCAAAATTTCAGCATTAAACAAAATGAAGCTCAAAGATGCCCCTGTATCTAAGAGCTGGAGAAATAGTATCATGGGAGTCATTCTGGAATGTTTTGTGCAGCCACACACCCACACAAACACAATACTCCTCAGGACGAAATCCATGACACCCACAAATGGTGTCATGTGCCCAACCTGATTCAAATCATTTCAGAAGCCAAAGGGTATTGCTGTGCCAGAAAGAGGCCTGCGCTCACCTTCCAAACAACAAAAAACCAAAAAAAAACAAAAAAAACCACAACAACAAAAAAAAAACTCTGGGGGAAGCTACTGCCTGAGGGGGACACAAAGGAAAGTGTGGTGCCCTGGTGCCACTACCAGGCAGGGGCCACCATCAAGGGAAGAAAAAGGGCAATTAAGGCTTTCCATCCAGCAAATATCCTGAGCACTGGCCACCGGTGGAGTTTCCAGGCAAAAATGTCCCTTCGTCCCAACAGTACCTGCACAGGATATATTCCTAGTGGATTGTGCCTGAAAAAAATCCTCCCTGTCCATAAGTCAAACAAAAGGTCCAAGCAATGGAATTGTGCAGCAACCAAACCAAAACCTCACCCTACAGCAGCCAACCCCAGCAAGGCCTCCTCCTCATCCTCCATCAGCTCCTTGCCCCCTCCCCTCTCTGTACATGCCCCATCACAAGGAGGAGGAAGAGGAAGAGGAGGGCTGAGGATGGTGGTGGAGGAGGAGGAGGATGAATGGGGGAGAGGAATATCGCTTAGCTCTTTTGAAACAAAATCCTACTGCCTTCTAGACAAACCTCAGGATTTTTGATTTTAAAGGAGCCTGGGGTTTGTTTCATTTCCATTTTCCATAAGTAGGTTGCCTTAGGCCTAGAGTTGCTTACAGTATAACGAATGTGATATTTCCTTCATCTATCTTAAACACAAGCAGAATAAAAATCACATTTTTCTCAGGCAACAGTAGCAGTTCAGTAGGTAAATGGTTTGATCACATTTCTCTTTTTTCTGTATTAATAATGCATGCAAGCAGCTTTAGTATTAGAGATCCCTCGTTGGTCAAGCCCAGCATGATCCTGGCTCTTTCACAAAGTCCCTCCTCCTCCTCCTCCGTAGGGGCCTTCCGGTCGTCTTGCCGGAGTCTCCGGCCGGCTAGTGGACCCAGATGGGCCCTGTTCGAAAGGCGGTGTGGTGCTGTGGCTCTCCAAAGCCATTGCTTCTGGGCCAGCAGACTCCTGGATGACAGAACTGGCCCCTTCCCCCTGCTCATTTGGCTCAAACAGCTGGCTGGATCTGTTGCTCTGATCCACAGTGACCGTGTTAGTTCTCAGTGCCACAATGGTTCCAGAATCCCCCCTCCGCTCCGCGTAGATCCGCTGTTCAAACATCTGAGCAGCGGAAGGCTGGAATTCAGGGTCCAGGGAGATACTGCTGGTAGTGGAGCCCATGACGGAGCGATACATCTCCATACCCTCCGGCAACATGGATTTGATCTTCGGCAGCCACCGCTTCCGCACCCGGCGGGCATTAGTGCACATGTCGGCTGCGATGACGTTCATCTCACTCTCCTTGAAACTTGGGGCAAAATTCTGGCAATACACTGCAAAGACAAGGGGGTGTTTTAGCTACAACAGAGGCAGAGTTTTAACATTTTTTTTCCCCAGCATCAGGAACAATGGCCATAAAATTACAGGTTGCATAAAGGCACCTTTACAAGATTTGTAACATCCAGCACAGATAAGGAGACAGTGCTGGAAGGTCCCATAGTAGACTGTGAATTATTCACTATTTTAAGAAAGAAAGATTGAATGCTTCCAGATTTGCATTCAACAGCTTGAATCACACCTCACCTGGCTGGTAGGAAACTAGCAAGCAATCACAGAGAAGACCAGACCCAGCCTCTGCGGATGACAAACAACTTGTACTTATTGAGAGCCTCTCTGGCATTGCTCAACTCAAGGCCTCCCTCTCCTCATCCCCCTTTCAGAGCCAATTCTCCCAGTCATGCAGCTGCCAGAGTCACGAACCCTAACCCTACCCTGCTTTTCAGGCCTTGATTTCCCAAGTCCAGACCTTGAGAGAGCCTCCAAGTCCATCAAGAGCTGCACAGAAGGACATAATCCTGTAGTGGTAGAAGTTTCATTTGGCAGAATTTCCCCTTCTTTTTAAAGAAGCCCAGGCAGGCTCCTCACCTTCCGAAGCAAAACTGCACACACTCTTTAGAGCATACCCTCTGCTTTGGCTCTGCATGCATCTGGTCTCATTTGTCCTTATCAGGTTTATGCTGCTGCATTTTAATTTGCTAGTGGAACTATTTAATTCTTGCAAGTTGCCTTGAGGATACATTTGAAGTGCAAATTTCTGCCTCCCAGCACCGCCCTCCCAAGTGACTTTCCAATTGGCCCCTTCTGGCTCATGACCTCTCAGCAGTCTTTTTTCAGCCAACATGGCTTGGCCTGGCTCCGCCAGTGTCCAAATTCCCTGACACCCCTCTCTGCCTGCCCTTTCAACCAGGGACAACATTCTAAGGAGGGTCCCCTGTTTGGGGCTTCTTTCCACATTGCTGTCATGAGACAATGAGCATTTCATGAAACAGGAGGAGCTCAACCAATTGGGGCTGCCACAAAATAGCTTAGTAGAGGGAAAATCTGCTATGGCCACAGACTCAAAGATCTTCCCTCTCATGCCCTGACTTAAAAACAAACTTTGTCAGCACACACAAACAGCAGTAAACATTCCACCCTCTTTTCTCCCCCAACCTTATACAGTCTACAACATTACTGTCTCACATTGAATAGAACTGCCCTGTAGAAAGGACTTTATGATCTGAAAACAGAGATAATGTATGTACCTTTGTAACCCAATAAAATCTTTAATAAAAAAGTTTTTCAAAAAGGCAGTAAACAGGGTTCTGATGCCAAAATGCAGGATTTTAAAGCTTTGGTGTCTTTTTAGAAGGAGCATTTGAATCCAGACCCCTTAGAATAATAGAGTAGCTCAGTCGGTAGAGCAAGAATCTCTTAATTATAGTTGTAGATTACAGTATTGCAGAGGACCCATAGGTCTTCTAGTCCAACCTCCTGCAAGGCAGGAATCACAACTAAAGGAAGATGTAAAATAAACCGAATAGCTCTCCATCTACCCTCAGAGGCTCCTTCTCCTCTTCCTCTCCACACTTACGTTTCACAGCATTAAGGACCCGGCTGTCCAGTGGCTTCCTGCTGGGATCACTTGTGGAAGACCGGATCCCAGTTCCGCAGCTGTTGGCCAGTGTGTTCCTGTCCCGGGAAGGAGTGGGAAGCAGAATCTCAAGAGCACATTCAAAGAAAACTCACAGCTGGGATCCAAAACATGGGAAAGAGCCCATTTCAGGCAGCAGACCTTGAAGGAGCTTCCATGGAGGAATGGGTGGGGGAAGAAGAGAGGGAGAAGCAGAAGCCCAAAGAGGTACACCCCCCAAGAAAAAACCTCATACAGGAGATAATACAAACCAATCAGTTGTGGCTTGTTGAGGCTCACTCTGCAAATCAGCAGAAATTAAGGAATCTTCACCATGGCCAAAGAACAAAATTTTTAAAAAGGTATCTCATAGTATTATAAATACTGAACACAATTCCAAATTACTTACACTGGATAAACCCCCCAAAGTTTCAGCTTTTTTTGGGGGGGGGGGAGCACGACAGAGACGTCAATCTACATGTCCATTTCTTTGACTAACCAAATCTACAGACCTACAGAGACATGCAGTTTCAAGAACTTCTGGAAGCCATTTCTTTGTAGATGGTGCAAATACTAGTTGCTAAGAAGAGGCAAGAGAATTTTCACTTGCCAGTAGACTCGTCAGCCCATTTAAAGGAATTATTAAGCATACATATTTATGCTCACACCACTTATTTGAAGAATTGTCTGCATCTCATTCTGCGATTCTAGGATAAGGGACAAAATCTGTTACCATGTGTATTTCCAAATGTATTGACATGCAGTGTCCAATTTAGGCTCTGTGATGTCTTATTACACCTACGAGCATTTGTGTACACTGCACCTCCTTCAAAGAGCAGCAAAATGAAAGTGGTCTGTCTGCCCTCAACCTGCGGATCCATATGCTGATGGTCCCAGATCTCCCCGCTCCCAGATCTCTCCGCTCCCAGCGGTGGCTAAACCTTTCTCTGCCTGAGGGCTGTTTTTCCCCTCTAGCCAACCCCCTGAAGGTTTCATGCCAGCGCTGAGTACAGCCACCTCAGACTCTTATATGTGGATCCACACACACACAAAAATTCCACCCAGCATGGTTGTTAATCTTAATCTGGTTTCCCTTTGTGTTGCAGTGTAGTGTTCCCAGGGCAGGGTTTAGCCATTTCTGCTAATTGGTAAAGACAGACATGAAGGGCTCTAACCAGAGTAGGCCTGCTGAAATGAACAAACTTAAGCTAGTCATGTCTGCTAACTTCAGGGGGTCTACTTTGAACAGGACTAGCACCGGACACAATCCCACGTCCTCATATTTATGTTTTCTACTAGGAAACATGTGGCCTCCATTGACAGACAAATTAAAAACACTTTTAATTCCCATTAAGCAAAATGCAATGGGTAATTTCCCTCCCTTCCATCACTTAAAGCTCCTGCTCCCTCTAAACTTGGCTCCCTGGCAGCAGCTCAGAAGCTGGCTGGGTCAAGAGGAGCTAGGAGGACGGGCTCTTCCTTTGTGTCCTACCTGTCAAAGAACGTGGCCAGCAGGCGCCGCAGGAGAACTTTGTGCTTCACACCTGCACACAGGTGGCAGTTCATCAGCTGCCCCCGAGTGATGTAAACACCAGAGCCTGGGTGGAGAGAGAGAGAATAATAAAATTGTAGAGTTGAAAGGGACCCCAAGGGTCATCATGTCCAACTTCCAGCAATGCAGGAGAGAGCAAGTAAGAGGTCCAGAAGTCACACCCCCAGCTCTGTTCTGCAAGGTGTACAACAGAACACAAACATGCAAGCACTTAATATTGACTCAGATCATCTTGAAGCAGCAAAGACTTTTGACATATCCCAGAGAAGTGACCTGGGCAGCAGGAAAAGGGGTTGTCTGTGACCTGAGTGTGGCAACCCAAGGGAGGGTCCTGAGATCCCTCAGGATCACTACCCCCAGCAAAAGTTCCAGCCTTTTCACTCTTTACTGGAATGGCCAGCAGTAAAGGCACATTCTCTTCCTGCCAGGTGAGGGCGCCCTGGCCCTGCCCACCTCTACTCCCTGCTCTCTCAGGGAGGCAACCTTTCTTCTCCCCCCACTGAAGGCCTGACAAGGGGAAAATGCTCTGGATTAGCTCTTTGGGGTCTCTTATCTAAAACTCCCTTCACAAAAACCTAAATACTGAGAAGTTCCTCAGGGAAGGTGGACACCAAGGTGGCTAGTCCATTTCATAAACAAAGCTTAGAAAAATGTAAAACCACATCACAGCTTTCAAAGATACAATGCAAAGTAAATGAAATAAGAATCCAAGGAAGTTATATTTGTTCTCAGAAGTAAGGAGGAGCAAAATGAAGAGAGTGAGAGACAAGAAAGGTGAAGGGGGGACTCTACTTAAATAGGTATCACATTTACAATATTACTATGAATAACAAAGTAATTTTATAAACAAAATAAATTTAGGTCAGATTAATTTTATAAGCAAAATTTTCTACATTTTGGTTCACTGCAATTTATCTTTTCTATTTTTTTTAATTAAAAAAACCCCCACCAAATCATGCAGAAATTAAAAGATCCCTTGTTAATGAAACAAAGAATTGCAAGAGTTCTACAATTTTTACAATTTTTAAGCCATGTTACTGCAACAAGTCCATAAGCATAAAGGAAAACCTGCCCCTGTGGTCCTTACCTGCCACGAGTTCAAGTTTTTCTCCAGGATCTCCTTCTGAGTAGAGTTTTGGGTGGCAGCGATACCCAATCTGGCTGATAAGGCTGGCAGGGAGGGCGACCAAGTCCCGCCTGATGAGGACACAAGAGCGGCTCTCCAGGGGCACTGGCTCCGGCTTCTCTTGAGGCCCTTGGGGAGAAGGAGGGAGGCTCAGGATTGTAAGGGGAAACCCCGGGGTATCCCGAATGGCTGAGGCTGCAGGAACCCCACTTTCTCTTGGGCCAAGAAGCCAAGTAGAAGCAGCCACTGCAAATGACCCCTGCTCTGCAGAGGCAGCAGCGGGAAATGTGAATAGATCCTGACAAGAGGGTTGGGAAAGTAGGCCTAATGGTTACAGCCAGGCCACACTGGTTATGTTCTACCTCCACTCTCGAAGGCAGAATTTATAGTTCATTTATAAGTAAAAATATTTATAAAGCCATTTCCTAAGGGACTGATAGGGTGGTGCATGGCACGCAACGGAACACAAAACACTAGCAAAACTTTATGTAAACCGCTTTGAGGATTTTTCTGACAATCAAGCAGTATATAAAAGTTACGAAATAAACAAGTAACACTGCACAAAATAAACTTTAAGATGGCTGGCTGATCAATGTTTTAAAGAAGTGCGTAATATGTAGGCCTCTGAATGCCAGTGTCTGGGAACTGCTAGTGGGGAGAGCTGCTACTGCTGGCAGCAGGTCTTGCCCACAGGTTCCTTCCTGCTGAGCTACCTGTTGGGGGGCTGGACTAGGTGCTCCAGGTGCTCCTGGTGGGCTGTTGTTTCCCTGGCATACAACTCACATCAAGGAATCACTGTGTCTGAGTGAACCAGACTGGCTTCATTCTCTCAGGGTTTTAAGTTTTGAGTGAGCTTTGAAGTATGGATTTCAGTTTCTCCCTGGGAATGGAGGTCCTCCTTTGGACAAGATGACCCTGGAGAGTCACCTGCTCCTCAGCACCAAAACTATCTATACAGACAGGGAAAGTTTTAGCCTGGTCAAATCAGCACATTGACATTTTGGACACTCCCAGCTTTTTCAAACACCTGCAAAGTGAGGTCCCCCTACCCCCGAGCTAACATACCTTGGGCACATGAGATGCTGCCAGCCAAGCACCCTGTCAGCCACCCACAAAATTTAGCTGATCAATGGACATAGAACCTAGCTGGGCTCTGGCTATAAAATCCTGCTGGCTTGGTTAGAAATGTGTCTCTCCAGTGGGTTGGCGGGGGGCATCCAGGCTGGCCATAAAGTGTCTCTTGCCCTACCAGCTCTTTCATGACCCCAAGAGTACCACACTGACCCATAGTGGCCTGGACTGAAGAGTCACACTGTCACCCCTTCTTTGGTTTTAGAGCACAGAACCTCAACACAGCTCCAAAGCCAGCACCTCATTCCCAATCCTGCCTGAAGGCATCTTGCCTCTTTCTCCTGGGAAGGAGAGGAGAGGAGATATCTGCCTGGGCTGGGCTTCCAGGCTCCTTAAGCTACAGAAAATAGACCAAGAGAAAGAGCTCAACAATCTTGCTATGCTCAATATGCAACCCTTAAAATCTGTCGGCATCAAGGAAACTGATCCACAGAGTAATGCTGCATTGCCAGTTTCATTAAATGAGGAGGAAACTCTGAACATGCAGACACACACACACCCCAAATAAGGAAACAGACGCCATCAATAAGCTTGCAGAAATTAAGAGCTTATTACTTTCCCCAAGGAACCAAAGGGACAACAATGGCACCTTCGGCAGATTCACATGTAAAGATCCAGTCCCTCCCGCCAAAAACATCTTATTGAAAAATGAACTACTCCTTACTAAGAAATCCCTTCCTTTTCAGCAAATTCACAGAGCCTGGAGATCTATATCTGGCAGGGGGGAAGGAAAGAAGGGACCTCACCCCAAAATGGAAATAAGCTGCAATCAGCACTGTTCCCATTCAAGTTTTCAAGTCTTAAATCAGTGCGAAGCTTCCTTATTCCAAGTGAGGACATCAGTCTGCCCAGCTCGGTATTACCAACACTGACTGGCAGTGATGGCTGTGCAGGGTTTCCAGCAGGGGATTTACTACCAGCCCTATCTGGAGATGCCAACTGGGGATCAAAACAACTGCTTGCAAATCAGACACTCCACCTACTGAACTACTTTTCTAAAATGCAGGGAAATGAACACCTGCCTGACTGCAGATGCCTCTCATTTTACGGTCCTATGAGACTGAAAGTGGCGGAGGCTAAAGGGGGCTTTTACCTGCATAGCCGCCTGTGGACTTGATGTGCATCTGCCCGTACTGCTCCTCCGCCATGGTGTCATAGGCTTCATCGTCGTCCTCATCTTCTTCGTTGTGGTAGGAGGTGGGGCTGTCAGTGGTGGGGAGGCTGTTGGCCCCAGGGCTCGTCCGCTCCCCCTGGCAGTACTGAGCCAGTGGGATGCTGGGGAGGAGGGTGGCAAGGCTGGGCACCCCGTAGTAGGAGACGCGCGACAATTTGAGCGGGGCGCTGGCAGAGGAGCTGCCCCCGGCCGCCTCCCGCAGGCTGCACTCCAAGGACCGCTTCGCAGGCTCCAAGGTCTCATGCTTGACGCGGGTGAGCAGTGGAAGGGGCACGGAAGGGGACACGGCATAGGGTAGGGAGGGCGGCTGCAGGGGGTGGCAGGGGCTCTGGGGCCCCGAGCAGGGCTCCTCCGTCATGGCCGTCTGGGAGTCGCAGTGAGGGGAGCTCACTTTGAACATCAGGTCTGTCCCCTTCTCCACGATGTGCTGGATCTGGAGGAAGCCTGCTGTGTACATCACCACCAGCTGCTCGCTGGCAGCCATGGTCAGCTTGCCGGTGTAGCAGAAGGAGAGGATCTGCTGGAAGCAGGCGGGCGGCACGGAGCCCGGCAGCTCGAAGGCGCTCTTGCTGTTGCCACTGAAGAGGTCTCGGAAGTAGAGGCTGCTGGCTGCCAAGACAGCCCGGTGAGCCTTGAAGGCCTGGCCCTTGACCAGGATGGAGACATCGCAGTAGAGACCCAGGAGGCGCTGCTCATTCAGGGAGCCCAGGACGGTGCTCCCAAAGTTGGGGATTTCTATGTGCAGCATCTGCGACATGGCTCAGCGGCTGCCTCACGCGCTCAAGGCCAGGGCTTCTGAGAGAGGGCACATCTGTAGGCGGGGCAGGAGAGTGGGTGGGAGGAGAGGAAACAGGCACGTGAAAAAGAGAAAGGGAGAGAGAGGATATCTGGCAGAAACACAAGAATCAGGAAGTACCAGGGAGAGGGATTCTGCCAGTGTTTGGAAAATCCCCCTCCTGTGAAGAGCATTCCTAACAAGGGGAGGAAGAAACTCAATATAACAGAGTTCAAAAAAACTACACCCCACCCACAGAGCCCTCAGTGTACCACCAGTCCAGGGCAAGAAAAACACAGGCAAAGATGGCTACCCATTCCAGCTGGGGTGGGGGTGGGCGTTGAGAACTGCCTCCATTGACTCCACCAACCTGAATCCAGGCTGATGCTGCTGAAAGATTTTTCCCTTTTTCGGGGGTGGGGGTACACACGCCACAAAAGATATGATCCCCCAAACAAGGTATTGGAATGGGATTTCTAACACAGGCACTATTAGGGCAGGCAGCGCACGCTCCTGAAAAAGCTGACACAGCTGGAAACTTGGGAGAAAGGAGGGGGGAGAGAGAGATGGGTGGACGCTTCAGAAATGCAGCAACTTCTGCGCATAATTATTCCAAGTTTCCCTGCACATTGGAGCTGCTGAGGAGCCAAGGAAGGGCCGGGCAGCTGTCCGTCCCCTCCGCCCCCACCATCATTCAAAGTGCGGGATGCAGGGAATGGAGAGGGGCTGGGGGCTGCCTTCTACTGCAGCAGCCCAGGATACGGACAGGCTCCCCAGTTCCTGAAACTCTTCTCAACTGTTGGACTCCCAAAGGCATTCCTCCATGGCACCCCCTTTCTATATTGCGGGGGGAGGGGAGATGTTGACCTCCATGCAAAGGAGACACCTGCCTGGGCTCTCGCCTTTGCATCAAGAATGCAGCAAAGCCCATGAATCTATTTTAGGATCCTCCGGGAACCGTCATGTCATGGCAGTGATGCCTCCTCTTTTCCCCCACCCACATGCACCAAAACACAGGCAGCATGCGGAGAAACGCCAACAAATTCTCTTAAACCAGCAAAATCTATGCCTCTCTTTAGCTGGTTGAGGGCAGGGAGAGAGAAACTCCTCATGACTTCAATGGCGCCTCCCTTCATCTCCTTGGCACACAGGAACAATTAAGACCTCCCCCCCCCAAAACACACACACAGTCCACCCCCTCCACACAGGAGGTCCCGATTCTGAGTTGCTTCAATAGCACCTAGTTGAACTAGACTCCAAAAGATCTCTCCTCCCTGCAAACTGACTGCTCCTAAAAAAGTGACCACACAATGGGTTGCTCTGTTCTCTCTCTCTCTCTCTCTCTCTCTCTCTCTCTCTCTCTCTCACACACACACACACACACACACACACACACACTACCTCCAATCACCCCTGCAAAGCTGCCAGCTAGGATAGCCCCATTCTGCAGCTGCATCACATTGCCCAAGCATTCAGCGCAGGGATGTGCCCCCCTCATGTGAACATACCTTAAGTGGTGTGAAATCCACAGCACCTGCTTCTGGAAGGGTCTCCTCAATCCCCCTCTTCAGCACCCAACTCTCCAGTGCAGCAGCAAAGGCTGCTTGGAAGGGGGGGCACAATGAGGAGGTGCCCCCTCCCGCCTCAGTCCTTCCCGCCTCAGCCCCTCCTGCCTGTCCTCCTTGCTTCTGCTGTGAGGAGTTTCAGCTTCAGACTAAGTCAAACCTCCTCAGCAGGAGCAGCAGGAGCAGCGCAAAGCAGCATCTCAATGAACAGGGCCGGATATGCAGCTTAACATTCAGGCCATTCTCTGCAATGAATAGAGCCCTTTGACGAGAGACCTGAAGCAAAGGCCAGTTTCAAACTGAAGCTCGGAAGAAAAGGAGGGGAGAGAGAGAGAGAGAGAGAGAGAGAGAGAGAGAGAGAGAGAGAGAGAGGGAGGAGGGGGGAAGAGAAGGATCAGTGCCAGAGGAATGCTCAGGGTGTTGGTACAAGACAGACTTTTGATGAGTCACTGCAATGCAAACAAAGATGGCAGAAATACTGTATGGGGCGCTGATGAAATGCTTAGTGGTGCCACAGCAACTGAGACAGGGCTCAGGATTTATGGCACAGTTTTGCATATGAATTAAGCTGCAAACCGCCTCCTCTCCCATCCAGCACATCCAGAGTGTCAAAGCATTTAAAGTATTCCAAACAGTCTGCAGAGCTGGCACAGTGGAGGCTCTCCATTAACTCCTCAGGGTGAGAAGGAACAAAGGACAGGAGGAACCAGGGCAAAGGAAAATACCCCCCACCCACCTTTTACTATCCTCCTCCTACCTGATAAGGTCAATGGCCAGGGTGTCACAAAAGGAGGGGGTGTAGACACACATGGGGGGGGATGTACACACACACACCCTTCACAAAACAGGCCTGCCCTGGAGCCTGCCTCAAAACCCTGAGCCTGACCCAGGGGCAATACCAGTGCTGGAGCTGGCTCTGAGCCCACCTTGCAGCATGGTCCCCACCCCATGCCCCTGTGTCATTTTCACTATGTGGTCTGGAATCTGCTTGCAAACCCCCAGCAGCTGCTGGAGGAAGCCTGGTCTATTACCACTGGAATCTCCTCGGGACAGAGACCTGTTTTCCCTCTACAGTGCAAGTTATTAAGACTAAGTGTTTCAGGTCACAGAGCCAGTTGCCTTCCACTTTCTACCCACACACCACACTCCTCCCTCTGCACCATTACTCAGACCTGAGCCCCTTCTTACAAGACACTCCCAACCAGAAATACACATTCTCTGAAAGACTGCAAGTCCTCCACTGCAGGACTAGAAGGTTTAGGTAGAAAAGAAACTCCAGGGAGGGGAGGGGGAAGCATCCTATCATATCCCCCCCCCTCAAAGCCTCTCACAACACTTTTATTTTCCAGTGAAACAATTGGAAATTGGGGAGGGGGGCCCTCTGGGAGTGTGCATTAAGGTTTCTATTGGCCTCACTAGTCCAGCTGCCACTGATGTTCTCTCCCCCCCTCCCACACACACATTTGCGGCAACCTGACCTGACCCTAGAGATCACTTTGGCTAGCAAGGGGCTAAAAGGGAACCTCCTGGGCTGGCTGGCTGAACTTGCAATGATGCATAACCTCCCAAATAACCTCCCAGCTTCTAATTCCTACAATATAATCTAAATCTGCTGTTTGTTGAAGCTTTTGGGGAAGGGCTGCTTAAAAATTGGTGGGAAGTATTAGCAAACCCCATTTTTTATTTACTAACACATATAAAATTTTTATATACTGCCCGCTCAGAAATTATAAGGATCATCTTGAGAGCCTCTAGATCAGTGGTTCCCAATTACGTAGCTAAGCACTGAGGACCCTGTTTTTCAAAAGCCAAGTTATGGACCCCCTACTTTTGAAAATGTTGTTATCTGTGGTAGTTTTTGTTACGTGAATGGTGCTGTCATACCCTCCAACATGTCCCAGCGCAAAACAAGACACGTGTCTTCCAGGCCGCACTCCTGCATAAGCCACATGACCCATGAAAGGACATGGCACCTAAAAAACACATATTTTGGGGCACCGTAATCTCACACGCTTTTGGACACCATGCTCTCATGCAAGCACAGGCCCCCAAAATCACACACACTCTTAAGGTGAGCCTCCCCACATAAATACCACTTTTTAAAAATGTAACCCACCTTGCCACAAAGGGTAGGTAACTAATAAAAGAAAAATCAATCAATCATGAATTTGGGACTTGCTTTTTTCAAAGGTCTGTGTTTGCTTATATTACTCAGCAACCACAGAAGCAGGAAATTACTCCTTTTTCCTTTCCTTGAAAGAGAGGGATGCTAGAGTTTCAAAAATGTCCACAAAAAAGGGCCATTTCTCTCTCCAGTTAATTCATCAACTGTTAATTCAGATTTTAGCCTTGCTGCATTACAGATGGTCGCCACACAAGCTGTCTAAATTCTAGTTATCCCTTAAAAAGAGACTTAAAGGCCTCAGAAGGGGAGAGACCTGGAGCCTGATCTGTCTCCTTATCACAAGTGGAGCAATAGGCACCAGACAGATCCAGCCTCAGTGGTCGTAGCACTAGGGAATTTCAGACCTAGAACTTAATGGCCTTGAGATGGGTGGCTCTTGAGATGGCTGCAGTTGAGAATCTCCCAGTTCATGTTGCCCTCTCCCCCAGTTGCCACCCCAAACTTCAGGATGGCTTCTGCACAAAATATAGAGTTGCATCCAACATTAGACAGGCTCAGGGCACACCAAGCAAAATTAATTTCCATTAATTTCTGAGTAAAAACTTGGTTAGATACAACACACAGATTTACCAACCCTAATAAAAAAAATCCCAAACACTCTTTGTGTATTGCAGTTTCACATTTTAAACTCACTTAAATTATAGAACTAACATGACTACAGGAATGTGGGGTTTGCTTCAGCTGCCCCGATGCTAAAACACATTTATCATTTTGCTGGAGAGAAGGGTAAAGTATTTTTGAACTAAAATACAATTCGCAAGTAAAAAAACAGTTCTGTAGCCATGTACATGTCTGGCCAGTTGGCTTCTAACTATATACCTCTGTCAGGCAACTCCTGCAGCCAAGCTGGTGCCAAACATACTTCTCTGCTTTCCTTTGCACCACATCAGTAAGGCCAGTAATGTCTTGTCTTCTGAGCAGCCCAGGACCTCCATACACATTGCCCAGGACTATGCCCTGATCACTTTGATGCTGCAAAACGCAGCAAAAATGCAGGAAGCTGAAGTTATGAGTTATAAGCTCAATCTGATTGATGTAAGGCACGAGCACAATGGGTAGCTTTCGTCAGTGGGAGAGATCATCATGTCTCACTTGTCAGCTACTGCCCACCTAAAGCCAGGCAGTCCTTGGTCAATAAAGTGATGGCCTGCCACTGTCCACCTGCTTCAATGGGTGCTTGAAACTCAGAGTATCAATCAAGAAACAGACCAAACTACTATACCAGGTAAAAATTAAAAGAAACAAATCCTCTTGCACCTAGCAAGCTGGTATGTCAAGACCATGTGTCCTCGCTTGTCCACTGAACTGCTGCAAGTTAATGACTCATGGAAGACTGTGATCTGAAAAAATTCAAACACTGACATGCCATTCTACAGGAAACCAGACTCGCTTCGAATGGCAGACTCTGAGAGAAGAACTACACCATTTTCTGGCAAGGAGGTCATCCGGAAGACCCATGTATTCATGGCGTAGGATTCATAGTGGGGAACTCTCTTCTGTCTGCGACAGAACCAGCTGAGGGCTCAGAACACTTGTTTTCCCTCCACCTCTCAACCACCTTCGGTCCAGTTAACATATTGAGTGTCTATGTTCCCACTATGTTCCCTTACATACAAACCAAGGACCAGTTCTACAAGGAACTAGACCAGGCTGTCAGGAGGGTCCCAGACTGTGAACACTTATTTCTGCTGGGAGGTTTCAATGCAAGAATAGGGGGTGATCATCACACATGGGACAACTGCATAGGCTTCTTTCAGGGGTCAGCAAACCTTTTCAGCATGGGGCCAGTCCACTGTCCCTCAGAACTTGTGGGGGGCCGGACTATATATTTTTTGGGGGGGGGGGCTGAACGAATTCCTATGCCCTACAAATAACCCAGAGATGCATTTTAAATAAAAGAACACATTCTACTCATGTAAAACCATGCTGATTTCCAGACCGCCTGCGGGCCAGATTTAGAAGGTGGTTGGGCCAGATCCGGCCCCTGGGCTTTAGTTTGCCTACCCATGGCCTCTTTGGTAATGGCAGCATTAATGAGAAGAGACAAAGGCTGCTTGAGCTGTGCTTGTATCAAAGCCTCTGCATCACAAACTTGTTCTTCTCTACCAAGGTAAAACAGCAAATTTCCTGGAAGTATCCAAGGTCAGGCCACTAGCACCAGATGGACTTGATTATCACCAGGTGAACAGCACTGAACTGTGTTTGCGTCACACAAAGTTACCACAGTGCTAACCGCGACACAGATCACTTCCTGGTGGCAAGCAAGATCCATTTCCAGCCAAAGAGGACCCATAGCACAAAGTGCGGTTTTGAATCTACACTGGCAGAAAAATCATATTTGAACTTTGTGAAAGCTTCTCTGATTCTGCCGAACAAGTGTTGAAGTAAGGTGGAACCACATCAAAGAGGCAACCTACAACACAGCTACCGTATTTTTCGCTCTATAGGACGCGCCAGACGATAAGACACACCTAGTTATGGGGGGAGGAAAATAATAAGAAGAAAAATTCTGAATCCCAGAAGCCAGAACAGCAAGAGGGATCTGGCTTCTGGGGTAGCCTCTTGCTGTTCTGGCTTCTGGGATAGCCACTGAAGCCTCTCCCGGGCAGCGGGATGAAGGCTCCCCCTGCCCTTAAGAGGCTGCGCGGGTAAGCTGCCCTCTGTACCTTCCCCCATCTCCCGCAAGAGCCGCGCGAGGCCTCCGCAGGGCAGTGGGGAGCCTTCGTCCCACTGCCCTACGGAGGCTTCGTGGGGGCTATCCAAAAGCCAGAATACCTAGAGGGAGCACTGCACAGCGCTTCCTCTCGCTGATCTGGCTTCTAGGACAGCCCGCAAAGCCTCCGGAGGGCAGCAGGGTGCCTTGTTCTGGCTTCTGGGACAGCCCGCAAAGCCTCCAGAGGGCAGTGAGATGAAGGCACCCCGCTGCCCTGCGGAGGCTTTGCGCAGCTAAGCCCAAAGCTAGAACAGCGAGACAGAGCGCTGCGCAGCACTCCGTCTCGCTGTTCTGGCTTCTGCGACAGCCCGTGAAGCCTCCACAGGGCAGCGGGGTGCTTTCATCCTGCTGCCCTGAGGAGGCTTTCGCGCAGCTAAGCCAGAAGCTAGAACAGCGAGAGC